TGTGCAGATCCTGCTCCAGCAGAAGCACAGCTGGCACTGCAGGAGGGCTGAGCCCCCCTGGGATGGGGCTGAGCCACCTCCCTGACCCACAGGGGACAGGGCTGCTCTGACTCTGACAGGGTTGTTTTGTATTGCTGCATTTTTATTTTATCTTTTTTTTTTCTTCCCTAATAAAGAACTGTTATTCCTACTCCCATATCTTCACCTGAGAGCCCCTGAATTTCAAAATCATAATAATTCAGCAGGAGGGGGTTTGCATTTTGCATTTCAAGGAAGGCTTCTGCCTTGCTTAGCAGACACCTGTCTGTTCAAACCAAGACACAATAATAAACAGTGCACCTGCAAAGCCCCAGAAACTTGGGGGATGAGGACAAGGAGAATTCCTACCAACACCAATCCCCCTGTCCCAAGCACTCAGGAGGGGTGGAAAGACCCAGTTCCAGCTCCTCTGAGCCCCCACAAACCCATCCCAGCTGTGGTGGTTACCATAGATGGTGCCGTTGATGCAGCACTTCTTGAAGCTCATGATGTTCTGGGTCAGGGTGCCCGTCTTGTCCGAGAAGATGAACTGGATCTGGCCCAGCTGGTCGCTGAGGCTGGTGCTCCTGGCCTCGGCCGGGATGTCCTTGGCACCATAATACATCTCCAGATCCCAGTTAATGAAGCAGCTGTTCACCAGGTAGATGAATTCAAACCTAGGGAGTCCAGGAGGAGAAAACCAGGGAGAAGGAGGCAGTGTTCCTCACAGCCCAGGGTGCTGGGGACCTGAGGCAGGAAGGAAAGGCAGGTGGACATCCCCACTGCTCTGGGCTTGGGTGAGGCCAGAGGGTTTTCATCACCCACTGGTTCTCTCTGGAATTGTGGCCCTTGGTGACCAAATTCACCGATCTGGAGGTCCAGTAAAGGGCCCAAAAGTTTGGAAACAGCTTTTTCCAGCCTGAATTGTGATTGTTGGCTTCACAGAGCAGCTGTGCTCTTCTCCTCCCCATCCCTGCTGCTGTCCATAGGAAGCCCAGGAATATCTCAGATCCTGCTCCCAGGGAGCTGCACCTTCCTCAGAGCCATCCTCAGCCTGCCCATGATTCCCCATCTCCCATCCATCCCTGCTCTCACAGGGAAGCCATTCCCTGTGCCCTGTCCTCCATCCCTTGTCCCAGATCCCTCTCCAGGGATGCCCAGGGCTTGCATCCCTGCTCTGCTTTTGCCCTGGGAGATCTCAAAGCACACCCTTGGTGTTTGTGGGATACACACCCCACCCACCCTTCCCCTCTCCTGGCTAAGGGAGCACCTGGCAATGACCTGGCCACACCTGGACCTTCATTCTGGGGCCCTGACCCAGTTCCAGGTGAGGGGCAAGGGCAGGGGGTGGGTGCTGGGCCCTGGTCCCTGCCAAGCTCCGTGGTCCTTACGTTATGTACATGGATATGGGAATGATGATGCTCAGGAGGATGGTGAAGCCCCAGAAGTTGAGGAAGGCCTGCTGGGCAGGGCTGGTGTGCTGGTAGAGGGCAGCCAGGTAGCTGTGCTTCTCCTGGAACGTCCTGGCCCAGAACCCAGAGGCCACAGCAAGGCCCAGGGATGTCACCAACAGCAGCAAGAAGATCTGGTGGGAAACCAGCATGAGAAGGTCCCGAGATGAGAAAGCCTCAGGATCACAGAGCCCACCAGAATCTTCTCTAGAAGGCTCCAGGGAGAGCTCAGAGCCCCTGGCAGGGCCTGAAGGGGCTCCAGGAGAGCTGGACAGGGACTGGGGACAAGGATGGAGGGACAGGACCCAGGGAATGGCTCCCACTGCCAGAGGGCAGGGATGGGTGGGAGATTGGGCAGGAATTGTTCCCTGGCAGGGTGGGCAGGCCCTGGCACAGGGTGCCCAGAGCAGCTGTGGCTGCCCTGGATCCCTGGCAGTGCCCAAGGCCAGGCTGGATGAAGCTTGGAACAATCTGAAGGTGTCCCTGCCATGGCAGGGGTGGCACTGGATGGGCTTTGAGGTCCCTCCCAACCCAAACCATTCAGGGATTCTCTGAGCACGTTAAACCCAAGACATTTTGGACCGAATATTGCAAGGTGAAGAAAAGCAGCACCACCCAAGCAAGAGGCCTCTCATGAGGAGCCCTGTGGGCCAGCCCAGGAGCAGGGCAGAGTCTTGGCCCCACACCCACCACGATCACCAGCCGGTCCATCAGATGGTCTAGTTTGGTTTTCTTCCTCTTGATCTTCCCAGAGTTCCTCATGATTTTGGAATCAAACCCTGGGCAGAAAACATTTCCAAAGTAAAAATACAAGTCCTCAGAAGGTTCACCTGCAGGTCAGTGAGGCTGCTTCCCTCCATGCTGACACGTCCCCTCCCGTGAGGAGACCCTCCCTCCATTGGTGTCCATGGAGCTGTGGTTGCACACTCCAAAATGTGAATCTCAGCAGCTCTCACCCCTCTCCCATCCTGGTTGGACCCAGGATGAGTGGAAATGTCCAAGGCCAGGCTGGACGGGGCTTGGAGCAGCCTGGGACAGTGGAAGGTGTCCCTGCCATGGCAGGGGTGGCACTGGATGAGCTTTGAGGTCCCTCCCCACCCAAACCAGTCTGGGATTCTCTGATTCTCTGAACATGTTAAACCCAAGCTATTTTGGGTTTTAGCTGGGGGATAACCTGGGATGAGGAGACCTCTGGTACCACCTCACCTCCCACCACTGACCCCAGCACCACCGGGACACGCCGCGGCAGCTCCTCCACCTCGTGCCAGCTGCGAAGGGCACCTGGAGGTGCTGGAAACGCTTGGGCAGCTTAAAATCCCGGCTCTGCCCGGGGATCCCTGCCCTTCCCGGCCCGGGCAGCGCCACTCGCCTGCGTAGAGCACCAGGCCGTAGCACAGCGCGGTGTTGCGGACGCGGCAGCCCCGCAGCAGGAGCCGGTCTCCATCCAGGGCGTGCGTGCGGCCCCGCCAGCGCAGGACGCCCGTGAAGCTGTGCATGCGGCTGTTGGGCTCCTCGCACGCCACCCGCCCTGCCACAGGGGACGTCAGGGGACAGGGGGAAGACAGCGAGAGCCTTCCTCCCCGCTCAGCCTCACGTGTCCGTCCCCTCCCCCAAAGATGCGAGAGATGGGTTTGTAATGGTAAAAATATAGGTTATTGCTGTTAGAAGTATTAGCGGGGTTGTGTGGCAAAAGGTGACAGGCTGAAAAGGTTATAAAATATTATAACATTTAAAAAAAATTATAATTTTAACATAAATGTATCAATCATTATAACCAAGAAATATGTTGGCTTCTGATGGAATGGCGTACATCTCCTATGTCTCACCCTTCATCAAGACTGATAATGGAATAAAATCTTTTCAAACACCTCTCAGTTACCCCATCTCTGTAAAAAGCTGAGAATAATCCAACACTCAGGGCCTCAGGGAGATCCAGGGTTTGTCAGGGCATCTCTAGGTGGGATTTGGATGGCTCAGATTAAGGCTAATGGAGGTGCTGGGAGGTTGGGCAGTCCTGGAACCTCACTGGGGAAGGTACAAACACAACCCCCTTCATGCCCAAGGCCTTGGAGAGGGGAGTTTTGCTTCCTGTGGAGGAGCAGCAGGGGCTGAGCTCAGGTTTGGGAACCAAGAGCTTGCTTCCAGCAGGAAAATCTAGATCCAGGGCAGGGGGAAGGTGCCCAACCCTGATGGATCCACCACAGAAGTGATGGGAAGTGCCTTTGCTGGACTGATGGGGACAGGGGGGCAGAGAATTCCCAAGGCTGAGTGATCCCATCCCAGTGGGACTGGCCATGTCCTCCCCAGCTAGCAGACTCACCATCAAAGGCAGCCATGCTCTCCTCGCTCCCCAGCTCCTGGTGGGTGACCAGAAGGGCCTGTCTGAACTTCAGGTTGGTTTCCCTGTGAGCAGGAGCCAGGGAAAGGAAAATAAAACAATCTTGTGGGGTGACAGAGCTGTTCATCTTCTGGTCAGGCCCATGGGATACAGCCAGCCATTAATTATCAGCTAATTACACAAGAGGTGGCAGTGAAATGCCAGAGAGGGAACCTGTCATGCCAGACGTGGAGCACTCGTGCAGGAAGAGGCTGGCCTGGGGACCCTGCCCTTAAATCATCCTGCACAGGGAGGACGGGCTGGGAGGGAGCTGGGAGATGGAGACACTGGCCTTCGGTCGCCAGCTGCTCTGTAGAACCCTCACCAGAACTTTTGGACTCCCACTTTCAAAACTTCTGGGTCAAATCCGCATTTCTGGGGAGTCTGCAGGTTTGGGTTTTGGAGGATCTCCCAAATCCTGTGGTTTTCACTGAACCCCCCCAGCGCTGGGGGTCCCCAAGACCCCCAGGGTCTCTGGCCCTGTCCCCTTGATACCTTGAGTTTTAAGTTTTTCTGTTCTGTTTTGATATGCAGCTTTTAGCTTTATATTAAGGATATATATAGGATATATAGGAGATATATATATATATGTGTATATATATCTATATCTCCTATGTCCTATATATATCCTATATATATATATATATATATCTCCTATATATAGAATATATAATGGGATATAGGATTGATACTAGGATCTTTTCACAGGTTGATGAATATAAAACCATTCCTATTCCATCTGGAGACTCAAGGAAAATCTCTTCAAACTTCAGGCCCAAAACATGAACAGCGTGAAAAGAGTAGGGTGGGCAAGCAAGGAGGATGAACCTTCATCATTTGCAGCTGTTAATTAGACAGTTAACTCCAAAATGCAAATGAACTAAAACTTATAAAAATGTGAAATCTCATGACCAAGCCCTTTTTGCTTCCATCTTGGAGCCATCTGGGCTGTGGCTGTGGTACTGCCAGGGTGTGGCCTTTGAAGGGACTGCAAAAAATATCAGTTTTATTGCTCTGAACTCCATCCAGCCTCTGTTCCAGCTCCCTAAGGCATCACCCCCATGGCCAGAGGGGTCTGTGTCCCTGTCCCTGTCCCTGTCCCTGTCCCTGTCCCTGTCCCTGTCCCTGTCCTCACCCATCAATGTCAGCGGTCTCCACGTAGCACAGGCTGCTGGGCTCGGAGCTGCACAGCAGGAGCAGGTCAGCCTTGGGGAGCAAAGAGCAGGAGAGAGCAGCTGGATGAGCCCCTGGTCACAGATGTCCCCCAGGGACAGCCAGCTCTGGGCTCCCCTCACCGGGACGATGCTGTCCTTGCGCAGCCGCACGATGTCCCCGACGCAGATGTCGCGCCACTCCTGCCAGCAGAACCTGTGGGGGATCCAGGGGACAGCTCTGTGTCCCTGCAGAGCAGTGGGACTGGGGGCTCTGGCTGTTTCAGCCCGTGCCTGCCCCAAATTCCTGCAGGATTTGGGTCTCTGGGTTCTTGTGCCGCCTCGCGAGGGCAGAGCACCGAGGGTGGCACAGGAGCCGCGTGCCACATCCGTGTCCCTGTACCCACAGGTGACAGGGGCTCTCAGCACCCTGAGCACGGCTGGGAAAAGCTCATCTTTCCCTGGAGCAGTGCAGAGCAGGGACACGGCTCCGTGCTGATGGCCTGGAGGAATTCTGTGGCCCAGGAAACCTCCCCCAGCACTTCACAGCAAACTGGGGCATTTTCAGGCCTGCTGCCCATGCCTGGAACACCACGAATCCCACAGGAGGACCTGTGGCACGTTTCGGGAGGTGATGGGATCTTGCAGAGCCCGGGACAGCCCCAGCAAACCCCTCCTCAGCTGCTCCAGGGTTCCCAGCACTTCAGCTGCTCGATGGAACACGGATTTTCCAGGCTTGGCAAACACAGGCACAGCCCCCGAGCCGCTCACCTCCTCCCAGCCAGGATCTCACAGGGCCGGCTGTTGATGCTCCTGTCACTGCGGTGACGGCCCTGCCCACGGGAGAGACGGACAGGGGAAGGCATGGGTCATGCCAGCTGTGGTGTCCCACAAGAACACCCCCTGATGCCACCACCTCCCTCCTCAGCGCCAGAGCTGCGTTCTGAGCCGTGGGAAGGCGTGTTCTGATCAATAAAGAGGCTGAATTCCCCCCAGCTGCTTCTGGGGACCCAACTGGCACTACCAAGTAGTGACAGAAATGAGGGCTCGGACCTCAGGGAAGCATCCAGGGTGTCACAGCTTTCCCAAGGAAAATTAAAACCCCTCTGGATGTGGTGGAGTAGGGAGTGAGGATGGCAGCAGCCCCTGAGCTGCTCAGCCCAGCTCGCAGCAAAGGGCCCCACCCCGCCCGTGTCCCCAGGGCCACCCCCACTCACGATGTCATCCACGAGGTCTCGCAGCCCCCGGATGATGAGAAGGCAGCTCAGGGGGAACAGCAGAGTGTACCAGGGCACCGTGGAGATCTCAGGGAAGGTCTGGAGAGAGAGGATTTTACAGCACTGACACAGCTCCTGTCCCACCTTGGGGCACTTGAGGTGACTGAGCGACTCCCAGAGCCCGAGGGTGGCAGGGACCCATCTCAGAATCACCAAACCTCTGCTACAGACACCTCTTTGGGTGGGTTTCCACCTCTTTTTGACGTGTGAAATTCTCCTGGATCTCTGAATGTGCAGGGATGAATTTCTGTCTTGGTGTGGTTAATCTGACCTTCCCCTCTATACGAACCAAACCCATTTCATAGAATCAAGGAATGGTTTAGACTGGGAGGGACCTCAAAGCCTCCACTGGAGACCTCAGTGCCACCCCTGCCATGGCAGGGACACCTTCAGATTGCTTCAACCCCATCCAGCCTGGCCTTGGGCACTGCCAGGGATCCAGGGTGGGCACCCTGTGCCAGGGCCTGCCCACCCTGCCAGGGAACAATTCCTGCCCAATCTCCCATCCAGCCCTGCCCTCTGGCACTGGGAGCCATTCCCTGTGTCCTGTCCCTCCAGGCCTTGTCCCCAGTCCCTCTCCAGCTCTCCTGGAGCCCCTTCAGGCCCTGCCAGGGGCTCTGAGCTCTCCCTGGAGCTTCTCCTCTCCAGGGGAGCACCCCCAGCTCTCCCAGCCTGGCTCCAGGGCAGAGGGGCTCCAGCCCTGGCAGCATCTCCTGGCTCCAGCAGCTCCACGTCCCGCCGCTGCTGCGGGGCCGGGATTCCCCGTGGCCGCTCTGGGCACGGTCGAACCCGCCCGAAATTCCCGAGAGGTGGAAGAGCGCCGGGGGAGCCGCCAGGCGGGATGTGGCGGTGCCCACCTGCAGGAGGATGAGCAAGAGGAAGTAGAGGTTGGCCGCGCGGTGGAACTGCTCGCAGAGGTTGCGGGGCAGGAAGCTGAGCGCGCTGTACTTGGCCGTCCTGATGGCGTTGCCCTGCGGGGACGGGCGGACGCGTCGGGGGCGCCCGAGGCGCCAACGCGCCCCGGGACCCCACCGGGCAAAGGGCCGGGAAATAGCAGAGCTGGAAGGGAAAGTGTCTAAAGAATAAAATCGACCTTGTTGGTTCCTAAATAATAATAATAATAATAGCGATAATGATAATGATAATGATAAAAATGAAAATAAAAGTAAAAATGAAAATAAAAGTAAAAATGAAAATAAAAATAAAAATAAAATAAAAATAAAAATAAAAGTAAAAATGAAAATTAAAATTAAAATTAAAATTAGAATAAAATAAAAATAAAAATAAAAATAATAAAAATAAAAATAAAAATAAAATAAAAAATAAAAAAAAATTAAAAAAATTTTTTAAATAAAAATTAAAATTAAAATTAAAATTAAAATTAAAATTAAAATTATAATAAAATAAAATAAAAATAAAAATAAAAATAAAAATAAAAATAAAAATAAAAATAAAAATAAAAATAAAAATAAAATAAAAAAATAAAAAAAAATTAAAAAAAAATTTTAAATAAAAATTAAAATTAAAATTAAAATTAAAATTAAAATTAAAATTAAAATTAAAATTAGAATAAAATAAAATAAAAAATAAAAATAAAAATAAAAATAAAAATAAAAATAAAAATAAAAATAAAAATAAAAATAAAAATATAATAATAATAAATATTATCAATATTGTTAATATTATCAATATTATTAATAACATTAATATTATTGTATTTCATTATTATTGCTATTCTAAAATAAAATAGAAAATGTTGACTTCTACAATAATAATAATAATTATTATTATCATCAGTGTTATATATTTTAATATTTAAAATATTATTTTTATTTCAATATGATTATACATTTTATATTATTATCGCTATTTAGTTTTATTTTTAATATATTATTTTATTTGTATATTATTTTTATTTTTATTTTATTATACATATTAGTTTTCTATCTTATTTTATTATGCATATATATACTTAATATATATAATATATAATATATACACATATATTTTACATATATTTGGTTTTTATTACTTTTTATTAATTTTAATAGTTTTATTTAAATATATTATTTTCTTATTATTTTTAATTGTAATATCATTATATACTATTTTTATATTATATTATTTTAATATTATTTTTTTCCCTCACATGGGCCACCACTAATGTTGATTTTTAATTTTCTTTTTCTGCTTTGGTTAGGGTTGGGAGTGAACGTGTTGAGATGGTATTTTGTGCTCAGATTTAGATGTTTATTATTTTTTATCTATATTATAGTTTTACAAGCTGTTAATTTTATAATATTTTACTAACAAGCTACAAAATGGCTTTGTGTCTATTTTTATAAGTTTTTTTAAAGAAAAACTATTTAATTAAGAAATGACACTTAGATTATTTTTACTTTTAACTTAACTAATTACTGATGTCTTGTAAGGAGAACTTTTTTGTTTAATTCCAAAATACTACTTCAACTTATGAAGTTGGCCTTAAAACTTTTGTTTTATATATATTACTATATTTTAAAACTTAAAACTTTAAGTGTTCTACTATGTGATATTGCACACTTTTAATTAAACTACACACTTAAAATCTTAATTTTATTATTTAACTTTGGAAGCTTTTTTTACTGCTTTAGCTTAAATGTAGAGGTTTTTTGGGGGTTAATGTTTGAGAGTAGACAAAGTTTAAAATTCTCATAATCTCGGGTTCTGACAGGGAAATGGATTTATCCGATCCAAGGGCAGCATAAAATTCAGAATAAAACCATTTGCTTGTGGCTTCGTTCCCTATGTGCCGTTCAACACGAGCTGCACTTTTGCATTCCTGTGGGTCCCTTTCAGCTCAAAATATTCTTTGACTCTGACTGTGATCTAAGCCCAGCTCACTGACCTCGATGCTGTTTAGCTGAAAAAATAAAATAAAATAAAATAAAATAAAATAAAATAAAATAAAATAAAATAAAATAAAATAAAATAAAAAAATAAAATAAAATAAAATAAAATAAAATAAAATAAAATAAAATAAAATAAAATAAAATAAAATAAAATAAATCTGGTTTTGCTCACTCAACACATTTTGAAAAACCTTTTGATTAGACCAGCAGAGTGCAAAGTCCTCCCTGGGGGCTGCGTGAGGGAAGGGAAGGGAAGGGAAGGGAAGGGAAGGGGAGGGGAGGGGGGGGGAGGGGA